CCTTTGTGCAATATGCAGTGCAAAGACAATGCAATGCAAATGCATCTGTTGTATTGAGCCAGTTTGTAACCATAAACAGCAAAACCGCCAAAAGATACATTATGAAGTTTGGACATTAGTTTTGTGGCCAGTGCAATAAATGCAGTGGAAAATATATGTGTGTGCATGCAAGAGGATGCAGAATCTGAATGCATTTGCCTTTCAAAGACACATCCCGACTGCACGCTTCATAAGAGACAGAGATTCTTGTTTTCAGCTGGCATTTTGAATAAACAGTTTGAAGGACTTCACATGTCTCCTCACAAGAGCAGATACAATTACTTGCTCAAACCCCCAGAGGACTATCTTCCTGTGAGAGTGTTGTGTTTGGAGGGGGGAGGTGTTTGTAGGGGTGGGTGGAATAGCAGAAGCGGCAGAACGAGTCGAGAAGAGCGAGAGGAATAAGGACAGGAGAGGACAGTGAATACCGAAAGCTGGATGATCGACTCTGACATTTGCAGCAATGTGCTTTAGGTCTCTGGGCCATGTACAATCATGGTGGCGAAAGATGGCTTCAAGTGCATGGCACTGCGATTACATTATTTCAGTCCCAAACGCAGCCGTTGGGATAGAGCCTTTTCTAATGGTCCTTATCATTTCAACACCAGTGGCCTCACGGTTATTTGGAGCAGTCAGGCATGTGGAAATGCATTGTTCCTGCTGCAGTGCAGAGAGCGTCCTGATTAGCAGAATGAAGGTGCTGCGTGTTTTGACGAGTGCACGGTAATGAGAGCGCTAGCTGCTCGGGGGCGAGAAGGTAAAGATGGAGGGGCTGAGGAAGGATCCTTCAGCAATTCAGAGAGCCGTTAACATTGCTTAGCACTGTTCCCTGAGCTGCAATGAGCCCAGCTGCATGCCCCGTGCCCACCGGAGTAAACACGTTATCAAAATTTGACGTGACATGCTAGGATTCTCTGTGTAATGAAAAGCAATGAGGCAATGCTTGTGCTTCAAAACAGGGCTCGTAGTTACTCCAAGCACTGAGATTTGTCTCAATCTCGTGGAATTACTTTAAGAAATGAAGCAAGACCAGAGTACAAACACTGTACTTCACACTGAAAAAAAAAATGTTCAGAGATGTTCAAGAAAGGCCTTGGGGAATTCAGTCATGCCGGGTGTCCCAATAATGTTGCAAACCATGCTCTCTGGATAATTTTAAAGAGTTAGTTCACTTAAAAATTTCTGCAATCAATTACTCAAACCCGTAAAACTTTTGCTCAATTACAAAACACAAATTAGGATTTTTAATAAAACCCAAGAAATTTCTGTGCATCAATTAAAAGTTCATTCACCCAAAACTTTGTAGTTTCAAAAAGTTAAAAACGACATCATAAATGTAATATTAATATGTAATATTTCGTAACTCTTTCCCTGCCAGCGTTTTTTTTTTTTAAGTTGCCAGCTACCGCAAGCATTTTTGATGATTTTCATAAAAATTTCATGGCCCCCAGAATATTTTGTTGTATGAATATCTGAACAATATATCAAAATAAAGAAGAGAGCCTCTATGTTTAAACAAAAACAAACAAACAAAAAAACATCCGTTTTAATCTAGCTTCAAGCATTTTTTTTAATCAACACTTGAATGCAGGTAAGTTTCATAAAAAAGCAACATTTTGAGCAAAAAGCTGAAAAAAATAACCCCCCTAGGGTAAACAGAACAGAACCAACTTTAATGATTAATGTAGCAGATATCATTAATGTTCTAAGTGATTATTTTATAGAACAACATAATTCAGTGGTCTGACTCAACGAGAAATATCCAATGCCGAGTCCTGACTGGAAGAGAGGAGGAGTTGGGGATGGAGGTGGGTGATTAGCTCCTGAGAAAAGTGATAGCTGCTGAATAATGACTGAAAGGACCTTATAAAGGGAATTATGATTGGTGTCGTATTCCTATAGGTAGACGTGGATAAGCTGAGTGTCAGCTGATGCGAGCTTGACTAACGTGACCTGCCAGAACTAACGCTACGCTCCATCTGGATCATATTCAGTACGATGATCAAAGCAAAGATGCAGTAGATGCTTCCATCAGCACCCTCAAAGCTTCACAGTCCTTTATCACTTCCTGGATCGACATTTCATTCATTATGCAGTTTTCATTTATATGCGGCTTATTGTTGATGATCGCATTATTTTTCATATGCATATGCTTACATATGAGATTGCTCATTTCTGCGTCTTCCTCGCCTGTGTTTTTGATCGGGACATTCTAGACTCATTCAGGAGATGCGCAATAGCATCCCCGAGTGTATAACAGTGAGAACACGGAAACATGGAAAATTCTGTGTTCTGCAGGGAAAGAGTTAAGATTTATAGTCATAATCAATCATTTGTCAAGTAAATTAAGAAACGAGGCATGCATGTGAAACCCTTTTTTTTATAGTGTAGAGTAGTCTTGCAGTAAACCAGTTGCATTAATGTTGCCCTTTTTCAAAAACATATTGTTCAATATTGTCCAACTTGTTATTTTGTCCTTTTTCACCAATTAAATTGGAATGAATGGACTTAAGAGTAGTTCAAGGCTGCTTATTTAAGAAGTATAATTTATGTAATACTTGGATAATGATGCTTTTGGAAAAGCAACACTACTTGTGTGCACGTTGTGCTTTAGAAAACCCAAACTTAGTCTGTATATCAAGTGATACTGAGAGTTATGGTTTGAGAAGAGAGTTATTCAGGAAAAGAAAGGTGCCAGGCCTGAAACAAGTAAGCTTAGGGAAACATCCAGATGGTTGGGGTAGACAGGCCAACACAAACAGGCTTTAGTTGGAGTTGAGAGACGACTGCGTGCAGAGGCATCTGACATAATTTATGTATTTGGTTTGAGTTTGTTCAAAGCCTGTCCTAATAAGTCCAGGACAACTGATGGAAGGGAAGCAGCCAGCTCCTATCCCTCAGGAGAAATGCTGTGTCAGAACTGGACCAAATTAAGAGGAAACTGTGGGAAATGTTGAAGACCAACAGAGTCGGTGAGGAGATGGGCAGCTTAACTAGCCCCTACACAGTATAATTGTCACTCCACTGCAGGCCTGTTATCGCACATATGTGCCAGAGTAATGCAGCTGTATGGATGACCAGCTGTTGAGCAATAGAGAAGACAAGGATTTTGGAATCACCACCCTGGTTAGACTTTTGATTATAGGCATAAAATCTGGTCCACTTAGTAGGTTATTCCAACAAAGAACCTTTGATTATAAGGTTATATGATTTATAAGATGTTCCTGTTTAACATCAGCCATCTATATACATACTGTTCATGGATTTTTTTTATTACGTCTACTTCCAATGTGGCACATACGTATATTGTAGGTCAGGATTTTCTTAATGAGTAGCTAATGTTACTTTTTCATTTTTCTGGAGCGACATGAATGTCTCATTGTGACAAATCTCAGTGTCTCTTCTACATTAGCAGGCCCTCTAAAGTAAAACAAATATTGAGAGAGAGAAAAAAAGAGAAACATTCTGACTCTCAAGTAAAGTCAAGTCAAGTCACCTTTATTTATATAGCGCTTTTAACAATACAGATTGTGTCAAAGTAACTGAACAGCATTAATTTGGAAAATAGTGTGTCAATAATGCAAAATGACAATAGTAAACACTCATTTTTCAGTTAAAGGCAGTTCATCATTGAATTTAGTGATGTCATCATCCAGCTCAGTTCATTTTAAATAGTATCTTTGCAATCATTTGCAATCAAGTCAACGATATCGCTGGAAATGAAGTGTCCCCAACTAAGCAAGCCAGAGGCGACAGCGGCAAGGAACCAAAACTCCATCGGTGACAGAATGGAGAAAAAACCTTGGGAGAAACCAGGCTCAGTCGGGGGGCCAGTTCTCCTCTGGCCAGACAAAACCAGCAGTTCAATTTCAGGCTGCAGCAAAGTCACATTGTGCAGAGGAATCATCTGGTTCCTGTGGTCTTTGTAAGAGGAATAATTTATTCCTCTTACAAAGAGTTATTATTATAATAATAACTCTGAATAATTTTGCACATTGTGGTTGGGCTGACATGTCTATGAAGGGCGAGACTTTAGAGAAATGTTGTGGTTGAAGGGATGAGTGGTCTAATTCAGAGGTTCAGTCTGGTGGGAGTCAGCAAAAGGGCTGAAATTGTTTAAAACACCTATATTTAGAATTAGTTTAATGGGCTTTTTAGAGGTACTTTTGTAACATCACCAATCATACTATTGTTGAAGCAGGGCAGAGGTGTTAATGTTTTGTAGGAGTCCACTTATGTCTACAGTACATGTGGTAACTAGGATTTTTCACAGAATTTCATCAGCCAGTAGTGAATTATGAACATAGAAATGTTAAAAAAAAATTGCTGGTCAACCAATTTGGATGCTTCTTCTCACAATCTGTTAATTTAGCCACAGATTGCATGATTTGTTTGTGAAAACTGTTGTTATAATGAGCATTTTTAAATATCTTTTAAGAGTTAGCATCTATATTAATATACAAATTCGTATTACTTCTTCTTGCATACAAAACTAACCATGTTGTTGCCCCCGGCTAAATACTGTAACAATTCAGATGAGGTTCTCTGCAAACCGTTACATTTCTGTGTCAGTAATTGGATGTTATCAGTTCATAGAGATGTGCATAATTATGCTTCATTTGCTTCAAGTGTTTTGGGAGAATAAGGAACAGCCAATCAGACGTGAAGTTTTGTGTTTTGTTTAAGGCAAGAGTGTGTTGATGGGTTCTCACTGTCGGACGCAACACAGCACTTTCATCTGCTGGAAATAATGCAATTATTTCTCCGCTTATATTCATGCAGTCAAAACAAATTTCCATGTTTGTACAGATTTTCCTATTATTGCAATTATTCACATGCCCACATCATTGGATTCCATTTGGTAGGATTGGTTTAGAATTGTGCAGTTGTTTTTTTGGACACTTTTTACTGTTTACTGTGACATAAACAAACTAAGCAAACTTGTCGTGCTCTGCTTCCAGTTTGTTCGCAGTTCTCCAGAGGGGTGTACGCCATCTTCGGCTTCTATGACAAGAAGTCCATGAACACGCTGACCTCCTTCTGCGGGGCCCTCCACACCTCCTTCGTCACACCCAGTTACCCCATCGACTCAGACGTGCAGTTTGTCATCCAGATGCGCCCTCCACTGAAGGGCGCCGTCCTGAGTCTCCTGTCTCACTACAAGTGGGACAAGTTTGTCTACCTCTATGACACAGACAGAGGTAAGTCCTCTTAGTTACCCGTGGAACACCAAGCGAAATGGTCGGCCTACATGAGTTAAAGAGTTAGTGCTGATTTGAATTGTTTTTGCTGGGTTTGTAGCACATAAGGAGCAGTGCATGATGGAGGATGGATGCCCCATTTGAGTCCTTGGGGTCTGGATAGAGCGCCTGCAGTACTGGTGCAAAGGTCCAGATATCTCTGGATAGATACATGATGAATTTAGAACTGATGTGCCCCAGTTCTGAGCGGCATAGACGAATTTGGGGCCCTAAAATACTTTACTTATTAAATAGCTCACCTTACTTTCCTAATACAGTTTATCTGCATTAGAACTGAACAGGGATATCGATTTCAAACAGTTCATAAAAACACATTTAGCTATTTTAAAGCAATGGCTCGCCCAAATATGAAAACTGTGTCTTCATTTACTCACCCACAAGTCAATCTTTCCTTCATGGAAGACAAAAAAAGACATGTTCTGAAGAAGGTGCACGTTGCTCTTTCCCATAAAATGAAAGTATAAAATGACCTGTGTCTCATGAGATATTACAAGGTGGCAATTTTGTATGAATTTATACAATGTGAATTGTACAAAAACATACGATTTTAAGAAAAAAAGAAAGCATGAAGGTGCACCCCTAAACATAACCATCACTGGGAGTAAGCAAATGAGATTCGTATGAATTGATGCAAATTGGACACCAATTCACCAAAATGTAAATTAGTTTCAGATTGCCATGAAATTGTGTTCGTTACAAAAAAGAAAGAATAATAAAAAAATAATAATAATAAAATAAAAAATAAATACAATTTAAAAATAAAATAACAACTCGCACCCTATATAGTCCACGTTTTCTGAAGGCATACAATTGGTTTATGTCAGTAACAGACAAAAACTAATTGATTATTCATTAAAAATTAATTCATGTTGCACCAGTTTGGAAATGCAACTGAGAATTGAGAGAAACAGAAAGATTATCAGTGACTAATGAGTTAAATATCATTTTGCCGACACTATGTGCTAATCAGACACAATGTGATTCCAGTGAATCACAAATGACAGCCAATCAGAAGAGCGCGTTGGTGGGCTTTCTCTGCAAGCACACTGCTTTCTCACACTCACAGTGAAATGGGAATTTACATGAATTAATACAAATTAAACCATTTGAATGTTTTTCAAAATACTTCTTCAGTGACTGATACAGTCTTTGTCATAAAATATACTTATTTGTTTGAATAAAATTTGCTTCAAATTTGTTTTCAAGATCTGAAGTAAATTATCTATCATGGATAAATTAAAAAAAATAAAAAATCATTCACAATTACAGACAAAATCAAATTAAACCATTTTAATATTATACAAAACAATAATTTCCTGTCCTGTCAGCCACGACATCACTGAAAGAAAACATTTTGTTGCTCGTCAGGTATCGCTGACATGACTGGTTAAAGCTCTGATTAACAAATCTCGTGTCACAGTGCTGCATCACATCTGGTTAGGACACAGTGTTAGAACATAGAGTCATATGACAATACTATACAATACTAAGTTTGGTGTCCCATACTTGGAATATGTGCTCTGCATTTAACCCATCCAAGTGCATACACACACACACAGCAGTGAGTAGTGAACAAACACACACCCCCGGAGCAGTGGGCAGCCAATGCTGAGGCGCCCAGGGAGCAGTTGGGGGTGCGGGTCTCACCTCAGTCGTGGTATTGAGGGTGGAGAGAGCGCTGGATATTCACTCCCCCCACCTACAATCCCTGCCGGACCTGAGACTCGAACCCACGACCTTCGGGTTACAAACCCGAATCTCTATCCATTAGGCCACGACTGCCGCAATATTATTATTATACTGCTTTGGTATGATTGTATTGTCATTCTTGAGGTTTGCAGCATCTGACACCCATTCATTTTAACTGTATAAAACAAAGCAGTGTGAATATCCCACCAAACATCTCCTTTTGTATTGCACCGAAGAAAGAAATCCATAGGGGTTTGAAACAGCGCTGGGGTGAGTAAATAATGACATAATTTGAATTTCATGCAAGTAAATGGACAATATGAGGAGTGGCAGTAAAACAATAGGATCCTAAAATGTCTTTGTTACCTAATTAAAATTCAGGGCCATAACAGTGCCGATGCCTCATCACCCCCCTTACCCGAGTGCACCTGTTCTTGGGCCATGGTTTGTGTTTACTAATCATGAAGAGGTCACAATCTCCGTTTGACCCAGAAGACACCTGGCCAATGATTCAGCTCTTCCCGTACTTTATAGATGGCACTGCAGTCAACTCCTCTGCGGCAGTCACAACATCTGTGCTGTGGTCGACGCCGCACCGCTGTTCTACCATTCGCCTTTCTGCACCGTGTCCTATTTAACCATTCATTCACTCGCAAGGAAATCATCATTTCCCATCGCTCATCTCAAACGGATTGAGCAATTAATTAAACTCAAGTGCTTTCTGTTGAGGAAATCTGCGATGAGTCAAAGCGTCTCATGGCGGCACACAAGCTTGAGGCGGTGACACTGGCATTTCGGGTCCCATTAAAGCCCGCTAGCATCCTGCGGTTGAGTTCACAATGTTTTTTCCCGCAAAACACATCGCTAATTAGATGAGACACAGAGCTAGCTCAGAGAGCTCAATGATCCCCCCCCCCTTCCCATCCCAATGTGTCCTTCATAGCAGCTTCCGCCTGGATTTGTTTCACTGCGATTTAAAGGTCATTTCCTGTAAGTTGCCAAGAAGCTTCGCAGTTCAGTAAAAGACAATACAAAGAGCAGTTTTAGCATATCTCTCAAACTCCAGGACATGTAACAAAGGACATTATGTAAATTGATTGGCATTTTAATCAAATTGCATTAACATACATGATATGATGTACGGCTGTCACAATACCAGATTTTCTATATACACAATTATAGTCACCAAAGAATCTGCAATAACGCCAATTATTGTGGTATCTTTACAAATTCCATCTTTAACTTTTTTGCTCAATTAATCACATTCAAACTAGGTGTGTGCTCCACTTCACTTTTAGGCATACACTCGTGAACTTTCCCTCAAGGGAATTCCTGCTATTTTCAAGTGCGTTTGACATTGTGAAGTGGATGAGAGACGTTTACATGGACAGACCCTCAACCCCTTGATTTTGACTGAGGGAGCGAGTCTACTTCATATGTACATTTCAGCAGCTCCATATACTACAGTGCAACACGACTGTCACATCACAGCAGATCATGTTTAATTTACCACTACCCCACACGACTCGACTGCATGATATTATTAGAGATTTTGAGATTTAACCGCACAATTGCTACCTTATGCTGACTGTTTATTACACAGTCATAGTTTATAGTATTAGGGCCCTATCATACACCCGGCGCAATGCGGCGCACGTGTTTTTGGTAGTTTCAGCCTGACGCAGTTCTCATTTTCCCGTCCTGCACAGCGTTGTTTAAATAGCAAATGCATTTGCGCCCATGGGCGTGCTGGTCTAAAAAAGCGGTGTGTTCAGGCGCATTGTTGCCGCATTGTTATTTTGAGGAACTGAAAATAGACTGCGCATAGACCAACTCAAACCTGGCCTAAAGTCTGGCGCAATATTTTTTCTTTGTTATTTAAAGAGCGCGTTAGTAATATGCGCCTATAGGCGGGTGCACAACGCGCGTACACTTTGCTTATTACACACACAGGGATGCGCAGCAGCACACAAACATTTTTAAATATGAAAATTACATTCCGCCATGTAAATAGCAATCCCGCCATGGCGCGAGCGCAACAAGGGGATGGGAGAGAGACTCTGATTGGTTTATTGCACGTTACGCCCAAAAAACACCCATTACTCATTAAGAGAATAGGGACAACCCGTTCAGACCATGCCCCGGGGTGCGCCGACCGTTTTCCCGTCGTTAAACTAGCAAAAGTGGATTCGGACACGCCCTGAGTGCACCTGCGCCGTGCGCTTTAGACCATGCGCTTAGATCGTTAAAATAGGGCCCTCAGTCACTTTTGCTCAAACACCGTTCAGACCATGCCCCGGGGTGCGCCGACTGTTTTCCCGTCGTTAAACTAGCAAAAGTGGATTCGGACACGCCCTGAGTGCACCTGCGCCGTGCGCTTTAGACCATGCGCTTAGATCGTTAAAATAGGGCCCATAAAATTTTATTTGTTTATTTATTTTTAATATACTTTTTTCCAAAAGCCAAATCATACCCACAGTATAGGCATATAGAATGGTGCATAAAACAAATTCATAAGGGGAAAAAATTTAAACAAGAATTCACCTCCATAGCATATTCCAAGTGATCAAGGGCTTAGGATGTTCCAGTACAACCGATTGCAAGGGTTTGCCAGTAGTGGGTCTTATGCAACGCAATCAATGGCGTATATCTGAGTCAATGAGACAGCTAAGTTAGAGAGGGCAGGACTTTAAAAAGTATGTGAAACACACCCTTTTAGTGTATAGAAGCAGAGAGAGAGAGAGATTGTGTAGCCATAACTGTACAAAAGCGTACAAAAAAACTACTGTTGATCGGCACTTCCTGCCGAATGGGATATCTGACACCCTATCTTTTTACAGAATCCATAAAACTCCCACACAGGGGAGCCACGATAGTAGATCTCCTTCATTTATTCTGATGTGTGGCAAACAGCATTGAGGTGTGATACCGCCTCCTACTGTGTTGGAGTGTCAACCAGATACTACAATTACTGCTGCTTGATTATTTACGACATAATAACAATTAAGCACATAACAATGTTTCCTTAAGAAAGACCTTGATTATTTACAATGTTGCAATATATTGTGACACCCCTAAAATGATGTACAGTATAATTTATAATAGCAATTGCAATTAATCACATAACAATATTTGCTGAAAAAAGACTGTAACAACGTTCGTAGGTCGGGAAGAAGGAGGCGGGAACCGGCGAACATTTGAACAAAACTTTAATAAAATAAACAAACACAAAATTAAAGTAAAGCGGCAGC